TATTGGATCGGACTGAGTTTGATTCATTAAAAAGAAAACAACCTGTGAACACTTCCTGAGTACAACCACATGACCAGAGCTGTGCTAGTGATTAGTTAAACACACATTTAAATCTGTCACAAGTTATCGTTCTTTTTCTCACCATGTAGGCCACGTTGTTGAGTCCTGGGTATTTCCTGTAAGTGGCGCTCTGATCAGTAAGAAGCCGGTCTCTGTCGGTATCAGGAAGACTTCCAGGTCCTGGTTGAGCACGACGACCCCGAGGAGAGCGCCTCCCCCTGGATGGACATCACACAATTTGAATTTTCAATTCTAACTTTAGCTTTTGTTCAAATGTTTCCTTTACAACTGTTGTCAAACACGTTAATGTATGTGGAGATGTGATTTCTGTAGATTCTCAGGTGAACTCTGACCTTTTCCTGGAGTCTGTGGGGGGTGAGGGGGCGTCGGCCTGCAGAATACAATCCATGTGGTCGTGGGCGGAACTGTAGAGACGCTGTGCAACTTCACTCTGCACCGGCCCGTCTCCGAAGGCATCCATTATGTCGTCCATGGAGGGAAACTCGCACTGACCCCGCCTCTTAGCGCGCTGCCGGAGTTTGTTCCTGTGATGTTCGATCTCTGACTTGTGTCTCAGCGCCACCTGCAGGAGCACAGGTGAACAGAAGAGGGTGATGTCATGCAGGTGTAAAACATGGTAAACAGGCAAGGTGTCTCACCTCTGTGTTGACCTTCTCTGTAAGCGTTGGGCTTGGATGGGGCTGGGCATGCGTCGGTGGGAGGCTCGGTCGAGGCTGCATGGCGATCAGCTGCACCTTGTTGGCCTGTCGACGAGTGCCATCAGACGAGCCTCGAGAAAGACGGTCTACGTGGTCAAAAATGGAGGATGACGACAGAGGCTCGTCTGGACCGCTGCCTGAAGGAACTGCTGGAGGAAGAGAACTTACATCAAACCAATTTCAGATTCTGGATCAGATCAGTTATTAAAGATGATGAAGATGATGATGAAGATGAAGATGAAGATGATGATCGTGATGGTGATGATGATGATGATGAAGATGATCAGGATGGTGATGATGATAGTGATGATGATGATGACGATGATGATGAAGATGATCAGGATTATGGTGATGATGATGATGGTGATGAAGATGATGATGATCAGGATGAAGATGATGATGATGATGAAAATGTTAATGATGATGATGATGATGATGAAGATACGTGCCGATCTTGCTCCGTCCTTCAGTGCAGAGACATGAAAAGAAGAAACAGATGTTAACATCAAACTTTATATAGAAGTTAAACACGTGATGATGTCATCCTGTCTCTGACCATTTTTGGGTGTCTTCCTGTGCTGTTTCCCCTCACTGGGCGTGGCCACAGGTCTGGTGCTCTCCTCTGCTGACTCTCTGCCGCTGGATTGTTCGCTGCCTAAAGAGTCCCCGTCTGACGGGCTGAGTCTGACAGAAGATATATTATTGTCCTGTGTTTACGTGAATGCAGCAGCGTCATATTTAATGGTGTTGGTCTATGTAAGTCCTCACCTTCCTCTGCGATGGCCTGACCGTCCTGCCTTAGTGGACGATCCTTTAGATTTGGGGGTGTTGAGATCTCCGCCATCAGGGGGCGTAGCCTCTTTGACAGGGGCGGGCAGTGGGCCAGGCTCCTGGATCACCATGATGTCGTCTTTACTGTGCTGACCCAGGTGGAGTTTGGCGAAGTCAAAGCCTTTGACGCTGGGAGCCTGAAGCTGAGAGAGGACACGCCTAATTGGTCAGTTTAAATGCACATACACACAAAGAGCATCGACTTCCCTTTGACCTCTGACCTTCTGCCTCTGCTGGATTGTGTTGATGGCGTCCGGCTGGAACTCGAGTTTCTCTGAGCCACACAGTTTCCAGTAGAGGAGGATGATGATGAAAACAGCGAGCAGCACAGGGACGACCACGCCCACAATCAGCAAGATACTGCTGCTCTGAGTCTCTGCTGGAGGGATGGACAGGGTCTCCACAGCTGGAGACAGACAGGTTAGAGAGAGAGACAGGTGAGAGACAGACAGTCAGGAGAGAGACAGACAAGTGAGGGAGAGAGAAAGGTGAGGAAGAGACAGGTGAGAGAGAGACAGGTGAGACTCACGTTGGGCCAGTGGTCTCTGGACTCGATGTCCGAGGACGATGGCAGCCCTCTGAAGGTCGAGGTGGTTCAAGATGGCTGCAGTCTTCTCTGCAGGGATTCGTTCACGGTTCTGACCCTCCACAAAAAACAACACCTCCAGGGGGCGCTCTGAGCCTGACAGCCTCGCCATACGCACCACCTGAGACACAACAGGTGAGTCAAGGAAGCACAACACCCTGCTGGTTCTAAACGGTACTAAACCTCAATTTATTGGATTCTTTAAGAACCCTAAGTGTCGTGTACATGTATGATGTTTAAGTAAATAAGATATAGAAGTGTATATGTTCGCGGTGTCACCTGAAGACTGTTGTTGCCCACAGCTGTGGCTCTCCTCAAGCGCCTCCGGCTGGATTCCTGCAGTCCCTCCTCCAGCAGCTGAGCCAGACGTCGCTCCAGACGAGCTTTAAAACTTCTCTCCGTCACCTGCTGCTCCTGGACACCCAGTAGTACTAACACACATACACAGTGTTGGCTAATCACGACACAAATACTAAACAACACAGACGCACAAACACAATAGGAGGAAACAACAGACAACAAAGAGCTCAGGTGTGACCTCACCTGTTCGGACCCAGGTGAAGCGTAGGTGATGAGACGTGTTCAGCTCAGGGTAGTGAAACGCTGAGGGTTAGGCAATTAACATGTGCACATAAACACAGAAATATGTACATACTTGTGACATATATACATACATGTTACATAAACATGTCATCATAAATATTAGTTAAAAGTTGTTTGAGTTCTGATATTTAAAATCTATTGAATGTTTCATAGGTAGGTATGTATTCCTGGTAGGTCAACATTTAACGCAGCTTGGACAAACACAGTGTGTGTTTATAATCAAACTGTGTCATACGTTCTGCGATCTGCAGAGCAGGAAATCCGACGTAGAAGCTGAACTCAACCAGGCTGAGCTTCCTCAGGTGTTCGCTGACCTCTGACCCCAGAAGGTAGCCCCATCCATCACGCACTGCAAATGTGACATCGACAGGAACCGTCTGCTTGACTGAAGGCCAGGGCATGCTCATGGTGACGTTCAACAGCTGAGAAAAAAACAATGAGAGAGAACACGAAGTTTTAGATCATGTGACAGTGATGAGGCGTCATTCACAGTCAGAGTTCCATCAGCAGGCAGCTCACCTGTACAGTAACGGTTCCCGCCTCATTTGACCGTCTTCGTGTCTCAGCGTACGCCATCATCAGCCCTCTCTCCACACGTTCACTGAAGTTACAGAATCGGACGTCGACATGGGCGGGGACAAACTGCAGCACAGAGTGGATCTGATACCTGATGTCGGGTATGGTGTAGAGTGGTGACACAGTGGGAATGGGGCCAAAGGAGCGTGGCGGTTGGCGCAGGGCATTGATGACGGCCATGGCAGTGAAGATCAACGGTCCTGATACTACACGAAAGGCGAAGCTGGACGGCGTTCTCAGGAACTGAGAGGAAGGGGAGAGGACATGGACAGCTGTCTACCATGTGACATTAGTAACGTGCAGCAGTTGCAGATCTGTCAGGTGAGAACAGTCAAATCTATTTGACGATAAAATTATCCTCACCTGTTAAAAAGAACCAATGAGCCATGACACCTGTTGATGAACAGGTGAACAGCAGTGTGGCGTGTTCAGGTGTATTTACCTGCAGCTCCACTGAGCGATTGAACTCTCTCCTCAGAAGATCTCGGACATGACTGAAACCAGCCGACGACCCTCTGGAACTGACTGCACGACACAACCACAAAAACACATCAGCTGGTCGTCACACAAATGTAAATAAAGTTCATGTCATGTCACCTGAGCTGCTCTTACCTACTCTGACCAGGTACATCTCTGGTTTAGTAACGTTGCACAGGTACTGTCTGGTGGGCAGGGGCTGGGCCACCCTCGGTGTGGTAACAGGGGGAGGTCTGGTCAGGCTGATGGCAGTGATCTGAGTGGTGGTGATGATGGAGGTGGTACTCGCCTTGGTGGTCTTGGTAGGTGGATCCTTCACCGGCGTCTCTGTGACCACCGGTGGGTGCTCGGGTCTATCGGGGCGGGTGGGCGGACCCAGTGGGGGAGGGGGAGGCACCCGACTGGTGGTGTTAGAGGGGGGACGGGGAGGGTATTGACCCTGAATGTGGTCTATAGGTTTTGGGGGGAAAGGGGTAGAGGGTGTTTTGGGGGTCATCGACGGAACAGCTGGTTTCTTCTCTACTGTGAGTGTCGGTGAGAGGGTGAGGGGGGGGGTTGGCCCAGGCTGAGGATGATTAGGGCCCTGTCCTGGAGGAGAGGCGTAGCTTGGAGACGGAGTGTGAGGTTGTGTGGTTGTAGGAGAGATGGAAGTTTTGGAGTAGGTCCGGTTTACCTGCTCCTGGTCTCTCTCCCTCTCTCTCCCTTTCTCTCTTTGTTTTTCTTTTTCTCTCTCTTTCTCTCTTTCTCTCGCTAGCAGGTTGGTGTAGTACTCCAGACTGTTCATGTCCGGAAGCAGCAGCTCCGTCGGCTCCAGTGGCGTCATGTCCTCGAGGTCGTAGTCTTCATCCCAGGTGGGGAAAACGTCTGGGTGGGTGGGGCGGTTGTGAAGCGGAATGCTGGAGGTGGAGGTGGAGGGGGAGGGGGGGAGGGGGGAGGAGGGTGACAGGCTGGGACGGGCAGGGAAGGCAGTGTCATAGGAGACCCAGTCCTCACCTGTGTTGTCTTCATAGGGGTGGCTGGGTAGAGACGTTGCCAGTGCCAGTTCCTCACCATCAGGCACAATGAAAGACAGAGTCTCCAGGTAGTCTCCGGAGCCCCAGGCCTCCTCCAGGGAGGGGCCCTGCTCCCAGGGGGGAGGAGGCGTGAGTGTGGGCTGAGTGTGTGGTGGGAGGGGCGGAGGGAGGCTCGGGGAAAGGAGGTCTGGGGGTCTCAGGAGGAGGTGGATCCCCTGAGCTCCAGAATCCAAGTCCTCAGCCAAACCTGCTACACCACTGTTAACATGGTAACCAGAGTCTGAAGGGGGGCTGGTGGTCGAGGGTCTGGGAGAGGAGGAGGAGGATGATGGTGTTGAAGGAGGTGACAAAGGTTCCGTCGTTCTGTTGAAGTCCAACACACCTGTGGGCAAAAGACGAAGGGACAAGATCAACTTCCAGGACCCATACAAAAGACGAAGACCCTGACCAAAGACAAAGACCCTGACCAAAACTAGAGACCCTGACCAAAGACAGAGACCCTGACCAGAGACGGAGACCCTGACCAAAGCTAGAGACGCTGACCAAAGACAGAGACCCTGACCANGAGACCCTGACCAAAGCTAGAGACGCTGACCAAAGACAGAGACCCTGACCAGAGATGGAGACCCTGACCAAAGCTAGAGACCCATGCCAAAGACGAGGACCCTGACCAAAGACGAAGACCCTGACCAAAACTAGAGACCCTGACCAAAGACAGAGACCCTGACCAAAGACAGAGACCCTGACTAAAGACAGAGACCCTGACCAAAACTAGAGACCCTGACTAAAGACAGAGACCCTGACCAAAGCTAAAGACCCTGACCAAAGACAGATTTATGCTAAGCTAAGCTCATCCAGGTAATGGTCCTGGTTTCAGTCCTGGTTTAACTGCTGATGACTGATCTACAACGTAAGAAGATGAAATGAAGATTCTTAAAATATAAGAGAAATAATAATTGTTTTACATCTTAGTTGATTTAATGTAAAATTTGATGATGTTGATTTTTTTCTTAAATGTTCACAATATAATCGATAACCAATAATTAACATGTATTGATTCACACACACACACAGTGTCACTCTGTCTGTGGCAGTGAGGGTGTTGTCTGGTGAACAACCAATGACTCGTCTTCATTCTCCACGTGATGCTGCTGCAGAGCACAGCGTCACCACGGCAACAAGGCCGGCACCAGATGAAAGAGACCCAGTCAAGAGTATGAGTGTGTGTAATAGTGTGTGTGAGTGTGTGTATGTGCATAATAATGTGTGTGAGTGTGTGTGTATGAGTGTGTGTAATAATGTGTGTGTGTGATCAGAAGCTTCAGCCACCAGGCTCCTGGAACCAGCTCTTTCTCTCTCTGGGTTCTAGAGTCTGACACCATCTCCACATTTAAGGTTAAACTTAAAACGCTCCTCTTTGATAAATCCTATAGTTCTGGATCAGGTCCTGAACCTGAACCTGCTATAGGTCCAGACTACTGGGAAAACTCCCATCATGCACTGAGGGAGAATTCCCATCATGCACTGAGCACTTCTCCCCATCTCTCTGCCCCCCCAACATTTATTTATTTATTTTACTACATGTCACTAACTATGTGTCTTTTTCCTCCCATAGTCTCTCTCTCTCTCTCTCTCTCTCTTTGTCTCTGCAGGTATCTCTGATTCCAGAGCTGCAGGATAACAACAATATTATTATTATT